TTGCATTTGTTTTAAAGTAGTCTTTCAATTAGTTAATTTAAAAAAAAATCTATTGTTTCCGTCAGGGGAATTCCAGAGCCTCACAGCATTAATGAAAATGAGCCTTGACGAAGACAAATAGGATTATTTAGGAATAACCAGACATTGATGTCTACTTGACCTAGTTAATTGTAGTTTATCATAAAGGTATTTGGGAGTTTTATATTTGATGAGCTTGAACATAAATATACTTTTTCTTGCCACAAGTTAATTAAAAATACCACATCCGAGAATTTTAGATTTCCACAAAGAAATGTGATAATATCTTTTGAGGCCATAGACGTAACGCGTAACATTGTTAAGCAAAACATCAATCTTGTGAGACGAAACAGAATCAAGTTTGCTATACACAAGCTCACAGTACGTGATATGAGGCACAATAAGTTGAACAGCAAGCTTTCTTCTTGTCTCCAGAGGTGTAAACGAAGCTGACGTTTTTCACCTATGCAAAAAAAACATAGACACTGCTAAAAACTTTATTAATGTGGTCAGAACAAGCCAACATGAAATTCACAACAAAGCCTAAATTTTGTATCTTGTCAGTAAACATTTATACACTATTACCAATTATAAGCTTCGGAATATTTTCCAAATGTACCACACTGTTACTGATGGGCAACACATAGGACTTAGCAGCATTCAGACAAAGACAATTATCATTGGCACATTGCGAAATTGCAGACAAATCACTGTTTATTTTGAAACACAAGTCCTCCACAAGACCAACACGACTTGATATTGGACATTCACATACTGACAAACAGAGAATACAGCGTTGACAAAAAGACTAAACAAGAGGGAACCGAGAACAGAGCCTTGCGGATCATCGGAGACAACAATACTAGACGCAGACGAGGTAGCCTTGCAAGTCACCTTCTAGGAAGCTGGCCATAAGCTTTACAGAGCTATCAGAGAATCCAAAATAATGTTTAAGCTTTTTGCAAAGAAGGTCGTGACTTACCTTGTCAAAGGCTTTAGAAAAATCCAGAAGGCAGAGAAGTGTCAGATAGCCATTATCAAACTGTACCCTAATATCATCAGTTATTTTTAACATAGCCGTGGCACAGCTATGCTTAGCTCTGAACCCTGACTGAAATGGAGATAACAGATTATTTCGTTGGACAAATGTGGAGATTTGTGCTGCCATTAGGGACTCGCAGACTTTAGAAAAGGCTGGCAGTATGCTTATCGGTCCATAGTCACTTGGATCGGTGGCAATATTCTTCTTAGCAACAGGAACAATCAAAACCTTTTTCCACTCTATTGGAAAATATGCCGTTATGAAGCAGTGATTGATGATATGTGTTAGAGTTCCCAAAATAAATGCCAGCATAAGTTGTAAGTAAGAAAAGGAACATTTTCAATAGCTAAAATTTAAGTTATTCCTAAAGGCACACTTAATGAAAATAAAAACAGACTTCAGATAAAAACATGTGTGCGTATGTATATATCTAGGGTGGCCAGATATTATAGTGACATAATCAGCACAGTTGGGATCAAAAATCAGTACACAGCCATAAACATCAGTTCATTTTTAAGCGTATTTTTTATTATTAACAATAAAACAACCGGATAACAGCGCATTAATTTACCAAATAATAACTAATAGACTTTTAAATATACATAGTATTATCAATATAAAAATTCATTACTCAACAAACAAATCAAGGTATTACGTATGTATGTACAGCTGGACTCACGAAAATACAAGATTCCGCATTCCCGGCGGCGATGAAATTTCTCAAGTAAATGTAAACTAAGCCGAATGGGAGGATAAAATAAACTGTAAAATAGTAAATTTTCTCAATAATAAATTTTTCGACAGGAAACGTGGTTTCATTACGTTAAATTTTAAAATATATGATTTATAAAAAAAATTAATAGCGAAATTAAAAAAAGCGCCGATTTTTGAGATAGTATTAGCAAATTTCAGTGCATCTGAAGTTTCTGAGGCGATGTTTACATTTACATGAGAATTGTCAAAATCGGCAAATCACAAGTAGCGGTTTCTGCAACGTGCTACATCGTGATGTGGTTGAATGAAACGCTGACAGCACTCCGCAAGATTGCAAAAAAATTTATGTTCGAAAAATATTTTGATATGGAAGGAACGGCTTTACACCGTCAAGGAAAAAACTGTCAAAACTCAATGCAACTTCAATCTATCACTTTGTTATACTAAAATTAATTTTTTTAGAGTTAATTAAAAAGTTTGCAATTTACGTGAAACTTTACAGAATTTCTTTAATTCTTGTACAAAGTTTGATCCAAAACTTGAGATTTACCACATTTTTTT